TGTGAAATAAAGTATATTTATTGGCAAGTTTATTAGTTATTTTCTTAAAGCAAATGTAGGAATACTATTACAGAGTGACTAGGTATAGAGTCTGTTTTTTTTTTTTTTCCATATAGGGTTCCATGTCATCCTGAAATAGAATGCTAGCTAATAAAATGTTACACCTGGATTAACATATGAGGTAGGTTCTCATATTATTTCAAAAACCAATTTGGTCTTAAATGTATCCATTTTCTAAATCAACAAACCTCACTATGAAATATGGTCTTCATAGTCACACAAGATTTTATGATTATGCATGCTAGTTAGTTTAAAACAAAAGACCAAATCCTGTATGGTTAAACTGAAGGACTTTGTAAGCAATTCTCAGGCAACTGAAAATTGAGTTGATGTTTCATTTTGATGAGCTGGGGCTCTAATCATTTGAACACGATTTGAGTTAAAGTTGCTTTCTGTTCTTTTCCAATATATTTTGTGCCAGTGAAAATTAAGTCCAGTGACACATCCTGTAGAGTTAGGAGATTACTCATTTTTTCCTGGCCTATATTCTGCTGAGTAAATTAAGTTCAAGATGATTTATAGGGCTAGGGATATACTTCAGTGGAGGAATTCATGCTTAGCCCACAGAGGCCCAGGGTTGAATCCCAGCATTAAAAAAGGATAATTTATAAACTGTTGTTGACCTTCAGGAATTATTTCATTTCATTCTACAATCTCTAAAGTGCTTGCCTCTCCTTATCATATGGGTCTGGACATAATCTAGTTATTAGGACTTGGGACAAGTAAATTGGTCATAACAAATGAAATAAATTGGATTTATATTATTGGTAATCCCCATGCATACACTAATTGTAAAACACTGGATCAAATAACCTATAGGATAGGACTGATCAGAACCTACTTTAAAATTACTGAAAAATGATGCAGTTTTCCTGAAAAGTTAAAGTTGGAGGGGGGTAATTGTCCAGAAAAATTTGAAAACCACTGTTTCCTGCCTGAAAAAAAGGAAAGATAGGGCTAATGGTAAAAGAAAAATTATATATAAATTGAAAATCATCAAAATTAAGGACTTCTGGGGAATGGGGATCAGAGGTAAAATGTTTACCTCACATGCGCGAAGTCCAGGGTTCAATCACCAGCCCTGGAAGAAAAAAAGTAAGAACTTTTGCTCTTCAAAAGACATTGCCAAGAGAATGAAAAGACAAGCCATAGAAAGGGGTGAAATGTTTTAAAGGCACATATCTGATAAGGTATTTCTATTTGGAATATAATTAATAATCAAAACTCAGTAATAGAGGAAGTGGCATCCAGTGGGTACAGATTTCTTTTGAGGATGAAAAAATATCCTTTTGGAATTAAAGGTAATGTTTTCAAAACTGTGAATATACTGTAACTTATAAAAATGTATACCTTCAAATGGATAATTTGACAATATCAATTTTTGCCTATCAAAGAACATTTTTACAATGGCTTTATAGCCAAAAGCAATCTATAGACTGAATGCAATCCCCATCAAAAAGACCAATGAAATTCCCCACAGAGCTAGGAAAAGCAGCTTTTTAGGAAAAAAAATAGCAGTTTTAGGAAAAAACTCAAGGAGGAATAAAAGACCCCAAACAGCCAAAGCAATTCTGAGCAATAAGAACAAGGCTGGAGGCATCACAATACACAACTTCAAGTTATACTCCAGAACTTTAGTAATAAAAAACATGGTATTGGCATAAATACTGGCTTGAGGATCAATAGAATAGAATAGAAAACAAAGAAGCAAATCCATTCAGATATAGTTATCTTGTCCTTGATAAAGATGCCAGAAACATACATTGGAGAAAAGACAGCCTTTTAAACAAATGGTACTGGAAAAACTGAATATACATGGATGGATGAAAATAAATTGTTGTCACCCTGCACAAAGTCCACACAAAGTGGACCAAAGACATAGGAATTAGACCAGAAACTTTGCAACTGATAGAAGAAACCAACACTCCAATATATAGGTGCTGGCAACAACTTCCTCTCTGGGAACCTTTGTAGGAGAATTACATGCAAATTACATGCAAACCATAGCATATGGTTAATATTCACTAATTCTGCTTCTTATTACCCCTCCACAAAGAAGTAACCTAGATAACAAGTTTCAATATATCACTGCTTAATTTAAGGATCATGGTCTCACACGTGATACATGTAAGGAGAGATAATGACCACCTATTTCCTTCATTTTTTTATCACACATTTCCTGGTATATGAGTAATGGCTCCTCTAGGATACATATCCACATTTGTACCATTATGTGGCTCACTCTATCTGCTCCCTCAAAACATTGCTGCCTGTCCTGCTTGCCCATAAATATAAGTGTCAACTCACAGAAATAGCTGCTATTCAGTAATGAGTAACAAAAGAAAAACTTGGAAGGTCAGGAAAATGCTTCCTTCCCTGAGGATCTTATTAGCTAATTAGCAGATATTTATCAAGCATCTACTGTATGTGAGGCTTAAAAAATGGGACATAGGGATGAATAAGTCTCACTCTGTCCTCAAGAAGCTCGGTATAACAGAATGAAAGGTACTAGAAACTTTTTCTTAGTGACTTTCTAGAGGTAAATTGCAATCCTTTATTTGGCTCCATACAGTGTAATCTTACACTAATTACTAAAACAGTAGAATGTGAAGGGGACCTCTCCGGAGCAGATGTAAGTTGACAAGTTCAACCCTTTCATCATCATAGCTATGAGAACTAAGAACTACAAGTAACTAACAGCATGTTTTTTTTTCTGTTATGTCCAGCTCAGATTCTAATGCCTGATGATAATCAATTTCCCCAGAGTAATGATGCCAAATTGGGCAGTAATCCTTTCTAAGATTATATAGGAATATATATATCTATATTAATGCATACAGATATATACAGTATCAACTCCAAACAGCTGCTTATGCTTGAATATGTTTCACATCAATAGAGTGTCATAGGTACATTTACATAAAGCTTCATGTCATTTGTTTGAAATTCACTTATATCTAAATGAACTGGAGAATTTATTCTCTAGTGATTTCAGGCTAAATACTATTGTCAATTTATTCTGTCTTGAGAGAAGGACGTTTATTTGTTTATTTTATGGTTTTATTTTTCCAGACCTAGATAGAATATTTGAAACAGGAAATGGCTTAGTGAATAAACATAAGTCCATACAACTATGTGTCTACATTTAATGCATAAACATCTCAATATATACTAAATCAATGAATGGCAAGAGTGTAAACTGCTTATGTCACTGGTGCTTAGAATTCAGGATTTTATTCTGAGTTGCTATAGGCTCCAGAAGCCTCTTCATTTCTCATTCTGCAGCTATTGCACAGTACATGCAGATGCATGCCTGATGTAAAGTCCTATCCAGTGGTGTGAGACTGATGTCCACTCCTCTGCTCCATTCCCAGTTCAGGAGCCCCTATGTTCTAAGGTGACAGAGGCTGGCCCAGGCTGTTGCCATGGAAACCATTACAGTAAGGGAGGTGAGAGAATGGAGAAGGGACAGAAAGTGCACTAAAGAGAAACAAAATGTCTATTCCTCTTCAGTTGTATTATGTGCAGATTCTAAATCCCAACGTGGCTTATAGTATACCTTCAATACATGTTGGAAAACCAAATGAATGCACCTTCAGAAATCACCCTGAGGGGCTTCCTCCATCATAATAAATAGACTTTTCCAGTATCAATGACTCAGATGTCCTATATTCACACAGTAACCAAGTTTTCCCAAACATGATTAATTACAAATATTCTCTCTCATTATCCTTCTAAACCACCAGAATGTCCCAGAAATTTCAAGTTTTTTAACATACAAGTTATATTTCCTGAATTACATCTGCCATCATTTATTAGATTTTAGGAATTGATTGAGAGTTTGGAAGATATAATCACTATATACTACTAAAGTAGTATTCAAGAAATGGGGAAAATTCCAAAGATAGGGAATAGGAAGAATGATAAGACTGTTTAAAACCTTTGGTAGGCCACACTTTGCACTTCCACCTGGTAAGCATGGTTTGAAACACTTAAATTATAGAGCATCAACTGGTGATTCATTGAAATGATTTATACTGTATTTCACCACATAATTGTCACAAATTCTATGCCAAAATTTTTGCAAAAATAGCAGGTTATGACTATTATGTGAAGCTTTTTAAAACAATTTGCTGGTATTACTTAAAAATCACTTATCTCTAAACTGTTTCATGCAATATAGGAATGCACAGACTATTCATGAATATACATTAATATGGTGGTGATGATTATATGGCAAACTACAGTATTTTAATTAAAAATGGTTTATTCATTTATTTTGAAGAGGTAGAAAACCATGTGTAAAAAGGTTCAAGGCTTTATTTATCCAAGTGTTTTTTAATATGTGTGTATGTTAATATCAACTGTGTAAATTGCACATATTAATTTTATTGGATCACCAATGAACTTATGTATAGAAAAGTTTTCTTAGAGTAGAAATCTGATACTTTTCAAGTGGTTAAAAATTTAAGTTTCTTCTAAATGTAATCTTTTAAGATTTTATGGTCTTATTTTTTTCATGAAAAGTTAATAAGAAGAAATGGTTATAAATAATGTGCAAATTCAGCATAGGGTCTACCTAAAAACACTCTGCTGAATTTGTACATTATTTATAACCATTTCATCTTTTTTCTTTTTAAAGTTGCTTTGTTTATGATCTATATAAATATAATTTATAATTATAAATATAATTTTTGCTATTATTATTTTAGAATGTCTTATCCACAGTTACAAGATAAGTTTTCTTAAGTCTGGGATATTCTTCATATCAGTTTGCATTCAATATTGAAAGAGTCCTATAACTCTTGCCTTCTACTCATGCGACTCTATTGGGATTTCCTTTTCCCAAGGATATGGGCTGTTTTTGATATCTGTGCCTCAGCAAGAGTGGATAAAAGCCATGTTGAAATGGATAAACCACACAAGTAAGAGCTATAGATGTGGACTACAGGCCACTGAAGAAGAACTGAGCTTGCTGAGGATCTATACTATACTTTGGAAATATCTGAGATGTTAAGAGGTGAGTACTTTGGTGGTTGGTGTGTGTGTGTGTGTGTGTGTGTGTGTGTGTGTGTGTGTGTGTGTGTGTTGGAAAGGGTAGACTATAGTGAGAAGATGATCTGTATAATATAATAAGCTTATAAGAAATGTAAGATTTTGGAATTCCAGAAAGGTTCAATTATCAAATAGTAGTGAAAATCAGAAGAAAGAGCTAATAAAATTATCTTCTTAGGTTGAAAACAGGCTTTTGAAATCAGCATAGAAGGGGGTGATTGCAAAATAACTATCATTATTGAGTTTATTGATCAAATACCAAAACTTTATGTTATCCCATTTAATACAGCAATCTTGTGAGGTAGGAATTATCTCCATTTTATACATAGAAACCTATCTTCAATGCCTTTATGGCATTTGCCAGTAAACAGATGGTTCTGGAGACTATATGCTAAGTGAAATAATCCAGTCCCCAAAAAGCCAAGGGTTGAATATTTTCTCTGATATGTGGAAGCTAACTTACAATAAGAGGAAGAGGGGAAGAATAGAAGTTTAGTAGATTAGACAATGGAAAATGGAGAGAAGGGAGAGGGAATAGGAAAAGGAAAGACAGTGGAATGAATCTGACATACTTTTCCTCCATATATATATATGAATGAATACATCACGGTGAATCCCATAATCATGTATGTCCACAAGAATGGGATCCTAACTAGAATAAGATACATTTCATGCTTGTATAATTATATCAAAGTGGATTCTACTGCATGTATAACTAAAAAGAACCAATAAATAATATCCATTAAATGTGAAAAATAAAAAATCTTATATGGGGAAAAATGGGAGTTCATAACCCACTTGAATCAAACTGTGAAATATGATATATTAAGAACAGTGTAATGTTTTGAACTACCAACAATAAAAAAAAAATCTTGAACTTGTTATTTGAATTGCATAAGACCATATAGCTATTAAGTTCATTTTACTTCAGATCCATGTCTCTCTGGATTCTAACACTTATTGAAAATAATATTCAAGAGAAAATTATGACTATATATCTTATTATTTTTATGAAGATTTGTGCTTTTACTTCTTTTTAATTTTTCAGAGAAAGTTTTTCCCTGTGGTATGTTCAGAAAATACATCAGCAACCCCAGTATCTACAACTTGAAAAAAAAAGTACTAGAAAAAAAAAACCCTCCTCAAATGAAAAAAAAAAAAATCTGTCTAGCTGGAGGTGTGGTTCAGCAGTTGCCTAGCCATGCACAAGACCCTGGGTTCAATCTCTAGCATGGCAAAAATCAATAAATAAAAGGGCCATGTATGGTGGTACATGCCTCTAATGCCAACTACTTGGGAAGCTGAGGCAGGATGATCACAAGTTGGAGGCCAGCAAAGGTCTCAAAATACTACATGCTTACATACATAAATACATACTTGCATACATATATACATATATGGTTCTAACATTTTCCTTTTTTCTTCTTCATTTTTCTATACATTACATGAATGGAAACCAGATTTTCCAGAGAAGGTATATAATTTGTAAGTGTAGAAATGAGTCTTCAATTTTAAGATGTTTATTTAGCTAAAAGCAGCAATGCAAAATTTATCCTTACTGACACTTGACTAATATTACGTACTTTTGACAATTGGTTAGTCTAAGGAATTGAAGCCTCTTTTGTTTTGTTTTAAATTTAGAAGTGTTTAGGTAGTTTTGTTACTGGGATGGGGCCTTCTGGGAAACTGAGGTGTGTGATGACCCCCCCTTCAAACCCCAGTTCTTATGATCAAGTCAGAAAGATATCAGACATAGCACTCAGAGAAACAGGCAATTAATTTATCTGAAGGGATGGAAAAGGGGACACTCTCAAGAGAGTGGGTCCTCTCAGAGAGGAAAGGGACACTGTTCCTCTTCTGCACTCCAGTTTTATTGAGGATCCCAGAAGTGTTTCCAGAGGGTCCCACCCAGGTCCATCTCTTGACTTTTTTAAAAATAACATTATTTTAATTAATTAATTAATTTATTTATTTATTTATATGTGGTGCTGAGGATTGAACCCAGTGCCTCATACATATTAGGCAAGTGCTATACCACTGAGCCACAAACCAATACCGATTTCTTGATTTGACTGATAGCAGAATGACTTCAGACTTTCAAGTCCCCACTGTCATAACAACTCTAGGTCATTTTGGCCCATACTGACTGGTTCTAATTGGATTCTTCTTCATAAATTTTTGGAGATTTTTGGTTACTAGAAATAATTGATATCTCCCTGAGTTTCAGGATCTTATCTATAAAAAGGGTCACAAAATTCTCCCCCTTCAGCATAACTTGAGTTCCTTTTATCAACATGATTTCAAGCCTGCATTTCTCCAACAGATAACAGGTAGCTTTCTGAGGAATAGGACATATCCTGTCCACTTAAGCCAGGCAGGACTGCAAGTAAATTGCTTCTTAGAAAACAAAGCATGTAGGAATCAGCACAGTGGGCCCATTTTATAGAATTATTTCCTTAAGCTCATATTACCACTACTTGCATCTGTCTGTCCACAATCAGTTTCAAGAAAAGTTAAGATATAGGTCTGTTTTTATCAAGTTGCAACCCTAAGATTTAGAACAACTTCTCATGACATTTATTAACTTATTTTGTAGTACCAGGATTTGAACCCAGGGGCGCTCAACCACTGATTCACATCCCCAGCCCATTTATTTATTTATTTTTTACTTTAAGAAAGGATATTAGAATAGTTATATAACCTAAAGAAAGGATTGCTTAGGGCCTCACTAAGTTGCTGAGGCTGGCTTGATCTTGTGATCTTCCTGCTTCAGCCTCCTGAGCCACTAGGATTACAAGCATGCACCACTGCATGCAACACACTTATTAACTTCTAATCACATATTTAATAATATTTTTCAGAGTTCATTAAGCATACCATAACTATAGGCAATTGCAAAACATTGACAAGAGCCCTTTATGTGAAGTCAGAGAATCTTAGTTGGAATTGAAGTTTTGTCTCTTACTTAGTGACTATATATTTGGGCAAATATTTTACTTTGTCTGAGCCTCAGTTCTCTCACACATAATATGATAATAATCCTTATGTTCTATGAGTTTTGAGAATAACCTGACATAATAAATATGAAAGTACTTTGTAGACAATTTCCATAGTAATGTGAGGAGACCAGAAGTAAAATAAACAAAAAGTGAATGTGCTAGTAGCTGTGCCAGTTTGGTAACTTATTTTCTCTTTGTTTCTCCCAGCAAGACCAAGGCCTGCATATCCCTAAGAAAGAGTAATGCCCTCCCACCTTGAGCCACATTTCCTGATTCTCCTACCTTTTGCCTCAGGAGCAATGCAGTAGTTGACAACATACTGACAGAAAGGTAAAAGTATATGAAAGACTTGCCTTCTAGGTCATTCTCTTTGAGTAAAGTGATTCCTCCTCAATAATAAGCCTAATAAACACTTCATATCAATATCCTGGTTCAGACAGTGAAGGAAAAGTTAAGGCAGAATGGTAATTTCATAACAAAGCCCAACAGAACCGTGGAGTTAAGGCATTGTAGTAGAGTAGGAAAGGCACTGAACTGGAAGAAAGGGAACCAGAGTTTATACTTCTGATTTCACTACAGAATAATTATATAACCTAAAGAAAGGGTATTTTTCTTTCTTGGCCTCAAAGTTTCACACTATACAGTAGTGTAGAATAGAATAGATTATCTCCAAGGTCTATTCCAACACTGATATTATGTGATTCTATTTTAATTATAATAAAAAGATTTCAACTTTGTAGGCTTTAAGAAGGCATTTTATACCTCAAAAGAAAAAAGGAGGAAAATCACATTAATTATTTCTCTATTGTGAGTTATAATAAGCATTTACTTTCATTAATAACCTTATTGGGGTAAAATTAACATAAATCTTTGCATTTTCTTTTTTAATGTTCATTGTAGCATTTATTGTTTATAATAACCAAGAACACAAAAATACACGGGAATAATATTCAGACATTAAAAAAATAAAGAAATCCTACTGTTTGAGATATCATAGATGAACTTTGGGGGCATGAAATTATCCAGGAAAAAAATTAAACAGTGAAAGCTCTTACTATATGTGAAATATAGAGAACCAGAATCTCATAGAAAAAGAGAATAGAATGGTGGTTGCCAGGGGCTAAATATGGGAAGGAGGAGGTGAATAGGAAAATGTTGGTCAGAGGGTACTCTCAGCTCTGAGAGGGATATGTTAAAGGTTTCTGATGTACAACATGGTGACTATAGTTAATAGTACTTTTTAAAAAATATTATTTATTATTTTTAGTTATACATGAGTAGAATACATTCTACTATATATTTGACATATACACAAAGTGTATAACTTCCCATTTTTTGTGTTTGTACATGATGTCAAGTTACACTCATAGTGTGTTCACATATGAACATAGGAAAATTATATTTGATTCATTCTACCATCTTTCCCATTCCCATCCCACCTCAATCCTTTGCGTTTTCAAAATGTGATTTTTTATTTTGTTTTCTTTCAAAATGGGATCTTCCTATGTTGCTTTGTTTACCTTGAACTCACAATTCTTCCACCTCAGCCTCCCAAGTTTTGGGGATTATAGTCTTGTACCACTGTGCCTGGCTCAGAGTGTTTCAAAAATATAGCAGTTCATATGAGTCCTACAGTAATTAACATTTCATCACATGATGAACTAAAAACTGAGGCTGAAGTTCAAAAGGTTTGCACAGAGTCACAGCTAGTATCTAAAATTAGGAGCTAGAAAACCAATTTCAATCTATCTCTAAGTTCAGTGATTTTCCACTACAGTAATTTACCTAGATGATTTCACCCAAGCTTAAAATACATGGAATTTATCTGGAAAATGAATTAAAACTGAACAGTTGCTATTTTATATGTAGCTATAAGTAAAAATAAGGACAATGTTTATATCTCTTTTAAAAATTCTTCACATTTGAAAGTAGAGCTGTGAACCACATATAAGGAAGTATACAAACAAAACATAAATGTATCAGAGCACTAGGGATTTTAAAAGATTAAAAAACAGCATTTGTAAAGCATTTTAAGATCATTTGAAGAAAGTAGCTACTTAGATATAATATTTAGAGCTATAACCATCAAGCACACAATAGAAAGGGAAATAATAAAGGATGGGATATAAGAAGATGTCTTGATTTAGGGATCATTTAACACATTTGCTATGTTAGTATAGACTTTTTTGTCAACTGCTGCACACCCTATTTTTTTCTTATGCTTCTCCCTTTACCCCCAAAACAAAAATAAGTGCAATCTTCGAGAACTTTAAAGTACACTATCTCTGCATAGATATTAATATAGTGACTGCTTTTCCTGATGTCAGAGCAACCAAAATTCACCTGGAAGATTGTGCCTAGACTTGTTGTTAATAATCACTTTAGAAAATGTATAGTTTCTCTGGTGACTTGCATTAAAATCAAATAAACTCCATGTTCCTGTTTAACAAATAAATTATTTGTTATTATAGAAATCATTCACTTGCTTATTAGCATTTTGAGGTTATAATCAGATCCAGCAAAGGTTTTTGCAATGTAGAATGTATTAGATTCAAAGACACTGGACATAGGCTTGTATTATGAGTCTATATGGAAATGATAAGCCTATATGAAAAAAGCTTAGTATTAAAAAAATGCATCCCAAGTCATTCTAGTCCATGGAAAAGTAGGCATCAAATACTATGGATCCAACTCTGTGAGGAAAGCAATAGAACTTTAAGATATTGTCACTGCCCTCATGGAGCTTGCAGCTTAATTGAGGACACAGAAAGATACCTTATATCCATTTCTTTATTTGATAAGCAAAGCTAGTTTGTGAGGTAGAGAGTGTTATTCTCATTTGCCAATGGGGGTACTGGGGTTTTGAGAATTTAAGTAACTTGTCCAAAAATCACAGCCAATAGGTAGCACGATTGAGATTCAAACCCACTGATGATAAAATATATGCTTTTCTTTGTATTTTGATGCATTGTAATACACAGGAAAAAACTGGCAAAGAAAATATAGCAATTAGGAATACCAACTTGCATTTTTCCAGGGCCTCATGAACACTGGGCAAGCACTCCGTCACTGAACTACATCCCCAGGACAATATAGTATCTTAGTACTAAAATATATACAAGTAACTTATATACAAGTAAATATATACAAGTAAATATATACAAGTAAAATATATACAAGTACAATAGGAATTCAGTGAAAGTTGATGCTAATTCATGTGTATCTTAATCAGTCCGTATTTTCCTAAGACATAGAAAAACATAGTTCCTCAGTTGGTCCTTATAGATTATCTAAATAAAGAAAAAGGTGTGGGAAGAAGAATAAGCTATCTGTGTCTGTTTGTTTATTTATAAAATAGGGATGGTGCCAGTCACCCACAGTACAATTTTTTTTAAGATTGAATAAGATAGCATATATAAAAGCATTTTGTAAATTACCAAGAATTCATTGATGTAAACCATTACTGTTACTTGATGAAGTATGAAAATAAGTATGTATATGATGTGCATACATAGAGTTGACATTGAGAAAGTGCTTAAGCATGAGCAACTCAACTACCACCAAATCAGAGAATTATAAAATCTCAGGGTAAGAGGGGACCTCAAAGGTTATCTAATCTAACTTCCATCTGGAGTTTGTCAAAAGGGGCTGATATATTTTAAGCGAATTTATCTGTATCTTGTTATGGTTGTTTCCCTCCCAAACTCTCTTTATTTTAGTCAATAATCCTACAGATTTTTTCATCAATCTTACAAATTGACTTGCATTTCATATTTTCTTTTATTTTTAAATATTTTAATGTCAACTAAAATAAAACTATAATATTTATTTCAGTGGAAAATCATCATTATTTCAATTAACATCTTCCACAGATATGAGAATCAGAAGACAAAAAACAGTCTGCTTAGTTCTCATTTTTTTTTTCTGAACTGTGCTCTTAAAAGCAGAGTTCAGGGTCTCTGCATTCATAAATAAAACCCTGACTCCTTGGGGAGATATTCTAACACAAAGGACACAAAGAGGAAGGAAGAACTTACAGTTTCATCTTTCGTCTCACTTAATCTAGACGTGAATCTCTATGTAGGTGCTAATTCATCTCAAGGAAGATCTGCCACTTATTTGATAGTAGGTAATCATTTCAAGGTGGTCCTCAGTATAGGAATTAATTGCAAAGGTTATATTAGTCATTTTTCTGCAGCTCAAAACATACTTTTTACAAAACAACAATAATGCAAATAATAGTAAACTAAAACATATAAAGGTCTTTAGATGAGTAAGACACAAGTGACATCTATTTTCTTCTTGATGTTTTTCTGGTTTCCAATTTTTCTATAGTAAGCACATATTATATATTTCTATATATATAATTTTTTTCTTAATTTGTTCTTTTTAGATATACATGACAGTAGAGTGTATTCTGACATATTATACATACATGGAGTGTAACTTCCCATTCTGTGGTTGTATATGATGTGGAGTTACACTGTAGTGTATTCATATATGAACATAGAAAAATTATGTCCAAATTATGTCTTTCTTATTCCCATCCCCACTCCCTTCCCTTCATTCCCCTTTATCTAATCCAATGAACTTCTATTCTTCTCTCCCTCCCCTTATTATGTGTGAATATCAGAGAGAATAATTTTTAAATTATTTATTGAGGTGAAATTTACAATAACATAAAAATAACCATTTCAAAGTGGGCAATTCAGTAGTATTTAGTACATTCACAGTATTATACAACCACTTCTATCTAGTTCATAAAATTCCATCACTCCACTATTAAACTCTTTACCCATTGAGCAGTTTGTCCAATTTCCTACTGCACTTAAACCCTAGCAATTACCAATCTACAATCTGACTCTATGGTTTTATCTAATTTGAATATTTCATGTATGTAAAATCATATGATATGTGATGTTTTTGAATCACTTCAACATCAAAATGTTTTTGAGATTCTTTCAACTTCTAGCATGTATTACTTCATTCCTATTAAATCTAAATAATATACATTTGTGTATCCATTCATTCTTTAACATTAACATTTTGGTTACTTCCACTTTCTAGCTATTTTGAATAATGCTGAAATGAACATGTGTGTTCATGTACTTGTTTAAGTGAACATTTTCAGTTCTTTGGGCTGATATATGTAAGACTAGAATTGTGAGGCTATATGGCAATTCTCTTTTCAATTTTTTTAGAAACCACCAAAATGTTTTCCATACTGACTGCCCAGTAGGATACTATTTTGATTACTTCAGCTTATGCCATATATTTATTTATTTTTAATTTTGAGACAGGGTCTTGCCAAGTTGTTTAGGATCTCTTTA